GTTTGATTCCCAGAACCCATGTGGTGGCTCACAACTGTCTGTTTGTAAGTCCAGTCCCAGGGGATCTAACACTCTCTTCCGGCTTCCATGGGTACCAGGCACTCATGTGGTACAGGAGCACACGTGCAAACAAAACACCACATGTAAAATAAATTTTTTATAAGTTTAAATTCATACATATTACATGATGCCAGGCTGGTATGACACCTTCAAATAGAAAGGAGGAGGAGGAAGGATCGGATTTCATTTTTTTTCAGATGGGAAACGTGTTGTCCCAGAGCTGTTTGTTATGTGATCAAAGTAAAGACTTTCCTGTCAATCAAAACTGCACCTCTGTGATGTGACAGTTGTATGGGGGTCTATCTCAAGGCTGTGTTCTAGCCTTCGTCTTTTGCCTGTGCATCTATTACCTTTTCACAAGGCCTGGACTACTTTAGAGTTTTAGATTTTTCCTTGTAAATCTTAGAATTAGTCTGCTAATTTTCATAAAAATTATTCTAGGGATTTTCATTAGAATTACAGATAAAATTGTGAGAAAACTTGTAATCTTCAAATATTAGTCTTATTCATAAATCTTGCTTAGGTTTCCTTTCCGTCTTCCATTAAAGATTTCTAATCTTCTCCAAGGAATGTCTTTTGCCCTCTTAAAAACAAAAAACAAAACAAATAAAAAAAAAAAACCCAAAAACCGTATTTCTGGCGCTAGAGAGCTGGCTCAGCAGTCACGGGCATTTGCAGCCCTTCCAGAGACTAGAGTGTGCCTCCAGCATCTGCACCTGCACCAGCATCTCACGACCACCTGTAACCCCACCTCCAGAGGAGAGTGCCTCTGCTATACCCCACACACCTGCAGACACACACAAATAAAAAGGTATTTTTAAAAGATTTATTTCTAAGTATCTTTGAGAGTTATTTTTAATGAAAAAATCAATATGAAAATCTTCAAATATAGAAACATAGTAAAATCAGCCATCATCTATTCTTTAGTTATTAGAAGTTCATCTTTTTTTTTTAATTGAAGAGATTTTCTATTCATTTTATATACCAACCACAGCTTCCCCTGTCCTCCCTCCTCCCGCCCCCCAGCCTTCTCCCCAACCCACCCCCCTTCCCACCTCCTCCAAGGCAAGGCCTCCCATGGGGAGTCAGCAGAGCCCAGTACATTCAGTTGAGGCAGGTCCAAGTCCCTCCTCCCTGCACCACGGTTTTGCAAAGTGTCTCACCACAGGCACTAGGCTCCAAAAAGCCAGCTCATGCGCTTGGGACAGGTCCTGATCCCACTGCCTGGGGGCCCCCTAAACAGTTCAAGCTAAACAACAGTCTCGCTTATCCAGAGGGCCTAGTCCAGTACCATAGGGGCTCCTCAGCTATTGGTCCACAGTTCATGCCTTTCCCACTAGTTTGGCTAGTTGTCTCTGTACTTTTTCCAGTCATGGTCTCGATGTCCCTTGCTCATAGAATCCCTCCTCTCTCTCCTCAATTGGACTCCTGGAGCTCAGTTCATTTTGTTCCATCTGCATCCTCTTGAGCACCCTCCCGTCCCCTCTAGTTCTCATAGTAGATTGTTTAAACAGGCTACAGCCATCAAATTATTTCAGTATCTCAGATAGAAAATTATACTATATAGGCATAAGACATGTCTCTAAATCATTTTCAGACCTAAACTTTTGAAAGAGTAATTTCTTTTTTGGGGGGTGGGGAGCGGCTTTCGAGACAGGGTTTCTCTGTGTAACTTTGCGCCTTTCCTGGAACTTGTTTGGAGACCAGGCTGGCCTTAAACTCACGGAGATCCGCCTGCCTCTGCCTCCCGAGTGCTGGGATTAAAGGTGTGTGCCACCACCGCCCGGCGTAATTTCTTATTATCATCAAGGATCCAATGAGCTATTGTGTCTCACTTGTCGCAATTGGTTGATTTGTATATTAGATTTCCTTCTGATTGTGCGTGTGTGTTTCAAGAAAGTGAATATTTTATTCTAAGGAATTTCCTGCATTCTAGGTTTGGCTGATGGCTCTGCAGAAAAATAGAACCAGGAAAGGGAAAGAGGAATGAATGAATGAATGAATGAATGAGTTACAGCAGTGGCTGATGTGGTTTTAAAGGAAGTTCTATGATACGCTGTGTGCCAGCTGGAGAGCCAGAGAAGTCAGTGTGTGGTTTGTCTCCTATCCAAAGAGCTGAACACAGCTGAACCAGTGGTAGATATCGAAGCCTAAAGCTGAAGGCCTGAGAACCTGGGGTCCACCGTTGCCAATCCTGGAGCCCTGCATGTGGTACAGGAGCTGGGGCTCAGGGACATGTGCCTTGCCTCTGCCTTTCTGCTCCATTTGAGCCTCCATGTTAGATGATGCCTGCCCACATCAAATCAGTTCTTTATTCAGTTTACTGGTCAAATGCCAGTCTATTCCAGAAACATCTAAATAGACTCAGAAGGAATGCCCATCAGCATTGACACCTAAAATGAGCCCTTACTTCTACTTCCTGTTTTGTGGTAGTGGGGATAGTCTAAAGCATTAGACCACTGGGCTACTTGCTTAGGCCTTAGAGTCTGAGGTGGTTTGGGGGTAGACAGGGTCTCAGTGTAGCTCAAACTGGCCTTGAACTCACTGTATATCCTAGGCTAGTCTCAAAGTTTGGATCCCCCTGCCTCTTCCCTCCCGAGTGTTGGGATTGCAGAAATGTGCACAACACCTAACCTCCTTGTGATGAGTGTTCATGTGTGTTGTATGTATTAACATGTCTAATTGGGAATGGAGTTTGTAGAGACTAGACACTCTTGAACATTGTGTTCTTCAGCTGGACTCCTTGATGGCGGTGGTGCTGTGTTCTGTCAGGAAGGATGTGTCCTGTGTGTCTGTCTTTGTGACACTTGGTAGTGGGGACTAGAATCCCGGTTCGTCTGTTCTAAAATTGACCAGCTTTTCTCCTAAAGGGTTCCTTATTTGATAAGGATCATTTCCATTTCTCATCATTTCTTTATGGTATGGAAAGTCATGGTATCAAATATTTTCATTCTAACACACTCGTCATCTGGAATTTTAAAAATAATACTTTTTGTCATCATCTCTTTGCTTCCCTTGAGACATAATTGATGTGTGAAAGGCAAGAAAAAATTCTAGTTAAAATCTGAAGGGAAAAAAAGTCAGGTTCTTAGTATGTAGTCCTGGCTGCTCTGGAACTCAGAGGTCCGCCTGCCTCTTCTCCCCAAGTGCTGGGATTAAGCACGCTTGCCCCTAGGAATGGCCTCTGAAAAGAGGGGAATGCAGGAGGATAATTGAGTTCTCCAGTTTCTTCCGGAGACCATCCAGTGTGTTAGTGTCTTCTTTCTGAACTTGATGATAAACAGGAATTGAAACATTTTTACTTAACTTTAACACTGGCTCCTCTAAGTTTTTTTTAGCTAATAAGTGACTGGTGGCTCTTGACTGAGATTGCATTGAATCCGTAGAACAGTTAGAGCTGACTTGTAAATGACTCCAATCACCTACTCCATGACTGTGGTGCCTCTCTCCTCGTGAGCATTTCAGTCATTTCTCTTGGTGCTGTTTTAAATACAGTTGCTTTTTGTTTATTGGACTTGAATCATGCAAGCTTGCTAAATGCACCTCTCATAATGCAGTTTCTTTTAGAGTCCCTGTGATCTTCTTGACGATGTATGTGTTACCTTCGAGTAAAGACAGCTTTACGGCTTCCTTCTCATTGTTGATATCCCTCCTTTGCCCCGTTGAACTGAATGCCACTCCACTGCTGTGTGAGTAGGGATATGAAGAATATGAAGATGTGCGTGCTTCCGTGTCCCCAGTTTCATAAAGGAAAGCCGTCTGTCCAGTCCCTTCCCTACGGGCTGGGCCCCTGCTGGGTAGCGATGCGCAGGACGTGGAATCCACCTCATCCTCTGACATTGTGCCTTTTCTTGACGTTAGTGACCAGGAGATCTGTCCGTCCTCCTCCAGTGCTAGTCTGCTCTTTGTTGTTTCTAGGGGCAATGCTTGTGGGTGGCAAGGACGATTTCCTCCCGTGCTCCTACACGGGGCAGCAGCTTTGCCCCCGCCCTTCTCTGAGCTCAGGTTCTCTTGCCTCCTAGACGTGCTAAGCAGGTTTCCTGACCCTTCCCCAGCTGCTTATAGATTTGTTCTACTTCCAGGGAAGTGGGAAGAGTTCAGCTGCCTTTGTTCCAGCAAAGGTGTCTTTCTCTCTTACTCTTATGTGAGCAAATCATGGGAGGGGGAGAAAACAAAACCTGTGCGTGTTGGCTTTTCCTGTGGTAGAGACTGAAGAATCTGAACTCTTCAGATGGTGTGGGCCCATTCTTCCACAGGGCCACCGTTCTTGTTTTACACCGGTCTGGGCTTCTGAGACAATGTAGTTCAGTTGTGCTGGAGTTCGAACCTCATTTCATGGGAGATACAGACATGACTTTGTGTATAATTTCTTTCATTGGGTGTTGTGTTTTTCAGGTTTTTGCCATGACTTTGTACTGGTTTTTGTTCATTTTCATTTGTTGCTAATGTTCTTGTATAAGTATAGCTCAATTTGTCTAAATTTTGTTTATATAGATTGCAGTTTATAACAGATACTGGTAGTGTCCTCATACAACTAAATGCAGATTTCAGTAGGAAACTGATTCTCAAAATGCTCGCCACTAGGGAGTCTCACTTCTGGTGACTTTAGAAATGCAAATTACTGCCTTTTCCCTCAGATCTACTGAATCAGAAACTTCAACTTTCAGTGCCTTTCTTCGGAAATTAAAATTGGTCAGTAAAACCTAAAAATCTGAGAGTATTCTAAATTGAATATCTCTGGTTGCCAGGTTTACGTCACCTTTGCTCTCATTCAGCATTCCTACATAGAGTTTGACATATATCCGTCTAAGTTCTGTACATATCCATTAAGTTGAATTTTTCCAAAAATACATTGTTTTCAGTATTAAAATTTGTCTTCTTTTTCTAAAACAGAGCCTTAATTGAGACCTAAACTTAATCATTGCATCCTTGTCTTCTAGCTCTTAGCTCTTCTTTTTGAAGATTTGTTCAAAAAATTTAATTCAGAAATGAAGAAGATTGCAGACCAGGTGATTCCTAAGCAAAGAGCAGCCCAGTTTGATGTCGTGAAGCACATGCGTCAGGACCAGATCACCAACGGCATGGTGAACGCCATCTCCACTGTGAGTGCAGCTGTCTGTGCTGTCTGTGAACGCAAGTAGACTAGAATGGGAAAGACCCTGCGAACCTGGGTGACGGGGTAGGGATCATGAACGACACATTTACAACAAAGAAACGTGAGAAGGTCACAGATTCTCTCTGCAAGTTCATGTAAAGTTTGTCTTCTCAATAGGAACTTGGTTAATATAGCCACTCCCCCATAGCCATCTCGTCCCATTCGAGTATGGAATCATTTAGCTGTGGTGAACTACTGCTGCCTTTCAAAAGTAATTCATAAATTTAAATAACTTGGATTATATTGTGGTTTTCCTACTTTTTGTTAGTTGCAAATTACTTTCTAAGCTTAATTCACAAATTAAACTTTATCATGGGTGTGTAAAGAAAACAGCATACAATTATAGGGTTCTGTACTTCCTGCATTTCAGGTATCCGCTGGGACCTCGGGACAGGTCCCGCATAGATTAGGAAGGCCTCTGTAACTTCACTGCTCTATTATGGTTCCTGATGGATGGCACTGTGGACATGCACTTGCAGGGAGAGGAAAAATCCCCTGGTTTAACTGTTAACAGTCCTTCTTCTCATGGGTACTTCCTCGTTTTTTCCTGTAATGAAATTGACATATCAGGCAGATTTCTTAGTTGGCAGCTTTTGTCCGAAGCCATACAACGGTGTTTTATTTCACAGTAGGGTTTATATTCTTCAGCGCTCCATCAGCTGTTCCTCTCTGGGCTGGGAACCTGTCCCTGCAGCTGCTGTGTATTCAGGGCTGGGCCATTCATGAAAGGCTGTCAGATAGGTATCTGCTCCCCTTTTAAAAGCATAGTAACTATAGGTCTATCTGATGGAGTCAGCTTCACATAGGATATTACAGACACACAATTAGTTTTATGGATGGGTTTTAGCCCAACACATTGACTCCCATAACCATGAAATAATAGCACAGACTTGCTTCACTGCTCAGCTTCAGAGATTGAGTGGGTCTGTGTGGACAGCTTTATGGTTCTAGCTACAGCTGACATGGAGGTGCAAGCCACTTCTGTGCCTTGGCCTAGGTTCTCAGGCAGAAGACCTACAGCATCAGCATTGTCTGAGTAAGAGCTCCCCTTTCTCGTGACTGTGTTCTTCCAGCGTGACACTGGTTTATCTTCTCGGCCACCTGCCAATTAGAAAGCACTGGGCTGGCAGGTGTGTCCCAACCGGAGGTGGCTGCACAGTGGTCCCAACAAAAGAACACGTTCACCAAGTTAGCTTCTCTGTGGAGAGTTTCAGGCTGTGTCTCCCTCTGTGCTCCATTTGTCTGCTCCTGCAGAGTACTAGAATAAATTTGCTCAGCTTCATTCCCCACCTACTTCCTATTTACTAGCAGGCTGCCTCATTCTAGCTCTCTGCTGAATATTTATCTCATTTCCTCTTACCTCTGGTCATAAGTCTCATCCCAAGAAGCAAAGAAGCCAACTGAGTACACAGCAGTCTGTGGGATGATTGTTTGCTTGCTCTTGGCTTTTAAGGGATAGAGCTTTACACCTAGAATTTAGAGCTTTATTCAAACTGCCAAAAGATTGAAGATTCGTAAGAAAAGATTTTGAACTTAACAAATTAAAATTTTAACTCATGAGGGAGATCCCCTGAAGTCATATTTTAATATCAACTGTTATTTGAGCTCTGAAAACAGTTGTTCTCAACCTGTGGGTTGTGACCCCCTTGACAAATCTCTATCTCTGAAAATATTTCCATTCATAACATTAGCAAAATTACAGTTATGACATAGCAATGGAATAGTTTATGGCTTGGGGGTCACCACAACATGAGGAACTGTATTGAAGAGTCGAAGCATCAGGAAGGTTGAGAACACCGTCCTAAAAACCCACTAATTTTCCTGTTTTGAGGCTTCTAAAGCTGGGATCGACAAGTGCTCTCCTGAAATTGAATTCAAAAGTTTGTGCTAAAAATTTTAAGTCATGAAGATAATTGAGTCAAATGGTTTTGAGATTTTTTTTACTTTGCTTTTTCATGCATGCTGTTTTCCACAATTTATGTTACTATGTATTCATGTCTTCGGAGCATAATATTTAATGTGTACAACTAATATAAACAAAAACTATATTTGATATAATCTGATATGCTCAGTACATAGAAATAAAATTAACATTCAAGATTTACTCACAGAAGTCCATTTTTATTAATATTTCAGGTTAGCATACAGAGTAATAGAGTTCATTGTAGCAGGAATCTTAAAGAGTCTTATTAATAAAATCAAACCTGAGGCCAGTTATTGGGGTGAATGCTGGTAGATTAGAGAGACAGAACAAGCCACAGCTACCTCACCTCAACAACTTCTCAGCTGGTCTTGTTTCCTCAGACTGGAGGCCTCTGAGTCCTCATCCAAAATGGGTCTCAGCTGAACTGCTACTCAAAACCTAAAAGCTTAACCAGCCAAATGCTTCTAGTTTCTGGCCCTCACGCCTTATATACCTTTCTGCTTTCTACCACCACTCCCTGGGATTAAAGGCACGCTTTCTGGGATTAAAGGTGTGTGTCACCATGCCTGGCCATTTCCAATGTGGCCTTAAACTCACAGAGATCCAGAGGGATTTCTACCTCTGGAGTGCTAGGATTAAATGTGTGAGTGCCACCATTTTCTAGCCCTTGTATCTAGTGGCTGTTCTGTGTCTAATCCCAGATAAGTTTATTAAGGTGTACAATATTTTGGGTAACACAATACCACCACAGTTCATTATAGCTTCTTTATACTAATGATAGCATTCTGTTTTAATATCGATGTGATCTCAGAGGTATTTCTTGATTTGACAATATACTATTTCTTAATGAAAATAATGTACAGTTTTAGGGCTGAAGGTGCTCCTCTGGGTAGAACACCTGCTTAGCATTTACAAGTCCTGCATTTGATCCCCAACATTAAAAAAAGACAAAACAAAAAGGCCAAGATAGATTAAAATATTCAATTTCATATTCCTTGGGCCTAGATTAAGAAAGTATAGATAATTATCTCTCATTAAACTACTGTTGGTTAAGAGTGGTTTTTTTTCTGAGCTTATATTTGTCTAAATACTGTTGTTGGGAGGCATCTAAATAACAGTGCAACGTGAGATTCCCTTTGCGTTTTAGTGCTTCCATACTTCATTTCTTGCTCCCCATGGAAGCCTCTGGTTACACTGCTTTGGGCAGTGGACCCTGAGTCCCAGGAAGGTGATTCTTCTGGGACACATACTCGGAGCTGGTTACTGGCCACAGTGTCGCCTCATTCTATGCCTCTGCATAGACTCTGGCTGAGTTTTGACTCCAGTTGTATCATTTTGGTTTCTGTACTTCTATCATGGCTGTATGTACATTACAGGAAGTTACTATGATAAACTTCTCAGTTTATGAACCGGTTAGGAGTCGTCTCCTGTATCTCGTCTCTCTACAGGGGAATTGGTCTCTAAAGCGATTTAAAATGGACCGCCAGGGTGTGACCCAGGTGCTGTCTCGGTTGTCATATATTTCTGCACTCGGCATGATGACAAGAATCTCTTCCCAGTTTGAAAAAACAAGGAAAGTGAGTGGTCCTCGTTCTCTCCAGCCATCTCAGTGGGGGATGCTGTGTCCCTCTGACACACCTGAAGGAGAGGTAAGATACCATGGGAGTCTCTATGGGGTCAGAGGTCATACCTGTTGGGATGGGAGTCTGGGGTTCTGCTTCTGGACCCATGCACTAGGCTGTTTCTTCTGTTTTGATTAACTGATTATTTGACAAGAAATACTGATGTAGTTTGTCAGTTATATTACGCTATTCCAAAACAAAGCCAGAGAAGCCTGTGATTCATTATCTCATCTAAAGAGATTCGTAGTCAACATTTCTCTTTCTCATTTTATCCTAAGAATCAAGCTATGCAATAAAGATGTGGACAAGTGAGAGAGCCACCACCTTTGATGCTCAGAAGGATCTTTGAGTATGTTCTTGATTTCTTTAGTTGTGCCTAAAGGACAACTCATAGTGTATAATCAAAGACCTGCAGTAACTCTGAATTATATGGGAAGCACAAGCCATTACCTAAATACCAAATCATTGGATTTGCCAAGATTTAATTACTTAGCCAAACTGTGTCCTCTGTTCCTTGCCTCTTTTTTATAGATTAAAAAATAATAATAATTTGTATGTATATGTGTGTGGCTGAGTGTATGTATGTGCACCACTTGCATGCAGGTACCACAGAGGCCAGAAGAGGGCACTTTATAGCCCCTAGAACTAGAGGAGCAGGCTGTTTGTAAGCTGCTCAGTATAGGTGCTAGGAACCAAACCGGGGTCCTCTGCATCTCTCCAGCCCTAGGCTTTCTCATGATACTGTTGTTAGTGTTACCTGATTCTATCCCTTTTGAGCCATAAACTAATGGAGGAGGGTGGTCCACCACTGTATCTCCAGGTAATGGAGGAAGGTGGTCCACCACTGTATCATCTCCAGGTAATGGAGGAAGGTGATCCACCACTGTATCATCTCCAGGTAGTGGAGGAAGGTGGGACACCACTGTATCATCTCCAGGTAATGGAGGAAGGTGGGACACCACTGTATCATCTCCAGGTAATGGAGGAGGGTGGGCCACTACTGTATCATCTCCAGGTAGTGGAGGAAGGTGATCCACCACTGTATCATCTCCAGGTAGTGAAGGAGGGTGGTCCACCACTGTATCATCTCCAGGTAGTGGAGGAAGGTGGTCCACCACTGTATCATCTCCAGGTAATGGAGGAGGGTGGTCCACCACTGTATCATCTCCAGGTAATGGAGGAAGGTGGTCCACCACTGTATCATCTCCAGGTAATGGAGGAAGGTGGTCCACCACTGTATCATCTCCAGGTAATGGAGGAAGGTGGTCCACCACTGTATCATCTCCAGGTAGTGGAGGAGGGTGGGCCACCACTGTATCATCTCCAGGTAATGGAGGAAGGTGGTCCGCTACTGTATCATCTCCAGGTAGTGGAGGAAGGTGGTCCACCACTGTATCATCTCCAGGTAATGGAGGAGGGTGGGCCACCACTGTATCTCCAGGTTCGTACAATAGAGGCCCTGCAAATATACAGTGAATGAAAAAAATAAGTTTATAACAAGGGAAAGGTGAGGGGTTCAAAGTATAGGAATTTGTTAGGATTCAAAAGAAGTGAAAATTATATGTCCAAACAGGCTGTGGTTTTTAGAAAAATTCAAATTTATCTTAAACTGTAAGGAAATTCACATTAAACTTATACAGTTTCCAAATGTATACATTATGAACTTTGAAGTATTTAAATTTTCCAGAGATTTCTTCAGCCAATATCCATAGCTAAATTTATTTTTTCAGTCTATCTTAGGGTTTTTATCACTGTGAGGAGGCTGAACCCTCACCAGCAGCCTCTCCCACGATCTTTTCAAGGACTCTGACCCTGCCACGTGGTGCCAAGCCTCATCATCTCTCCGTAGCCCCTTCATTCTTGGGGTATCGATTTCAGCTGAGGCTGCACATCCACCAGTGCCCTCTCCTGGCCTCTCACAGTGCCAAGCCTCAGCTGTTCTCCATGACTCTTCATGTCTTTAGAACCAGTATCACCTGGGAAACTTTCACATTACCAAGTTTGGCTGCCAGCACAAGGTCCATCCTTGGCTCCCTCTTGACCACAGCTTCTGTGTGCTGACCCTGAGGGAACATGCCCAGATTTGCCATCCTCAGTAATGGTGACGGTCTCTTTCTAATTACTGTTGATTCTTCAGCTCCAGCTGACCAGTATCAATTTTCTCTGCAAAGCAAAGGTTTCCCTTTAATGGTTCTTATTTCAAAATATTGAGTAGCCCTGATAGAGTCTTTAAGGGGCTCGCAAACTTCTCACTGAAACCTCACAAGCCAGGCTTCATTGTCTCCATAGATCTCAGTGTTCTTCCAAACTTCCACAGAACAGCCCACTGAACTCTGAGCACACAATAGCCTTTCCAGCCCAAAGTTCAGATGCCATGACAGTCCTCAAAAAACACCGTCAGGTCTGTCATAGCAGTGCCCATTGACCTGGTACCAATCTCTACCTTAGTTAGGGTTTCTGTTGCTGTGTAAAGTGCCATGACTATAAGCAACTTGGGGAGGCTTACACTTCCAGGTCACACTCCATCACTGAGGGAAGTTAGGGCAGGAATCTGGAAGCAGGAACTAAAGCAGAAGCCGTGGAGGAATGCTGCTTACTGGCTTGCTCCTCCTGGCTTGCTCAGCCTGCTTTCTTATACACCCATGACCACCAGCCTAGGGATAGCATTATCCACAATGGACTGGGCTCTCCCACATCCACCACTAGTTAAGAACATGTACTATAGCCTTGTCTGCAGCCCATTCATATGGAGGCACTTTTCTCAATTGTGATTCCCTCAGATAATTCCAGCATGTGTCAAGTTGACAATAAACTAGCCAGGACAATGTCTTTTCTTGTCATCTGAGGATAAATTCCTCAGGTTAAAAATATACACATTTTAAAGGTGAGGTTATTTGTTTGAGGTAGGGGTGTGTGTGTGTGTGTGTGTGTGTGTGTGTGTGTGTGTGTGTGAATCCCCAAGTGTCCCTTTCAAGGTTGTACTCTTTTATATTGCTACCAACAGAGTGCTGAGCATTTTCAGATACAAGCTCTACTTTGTATGACTAACATTTGTGACTGTCTGTTTTCTGTTAGGCCTGTGGTTTGGTTAAAAACTTGGCCCTTATGACACATATTACAACTGACATGGAGGACGGACCTATTATTAAGTTAGCTGGTAACCTAGGAGTAGAAGATGTGAATTTACTGTGTGGCGAAGAACTCTCTTACCCCAATGTGTTTCTTGTCTTCCTGAATGGTAAGTATGCTAGAGAGACATGTTCTTCCTAAGCCAGTGGTTCTCATCATGTGACTTACAAACCCTTTGGGGGTCAAATGACCCTTTCAAAGGGGTCATCAGATATCCTGCATATCAGATATTTATGTTATGATTCATGACAGTAGCAAAATTACAGTGATGAAGTAGCAATGAAATAATGTTATGGTTGGGGTCATAACAGCATGAGGAACTGTGTTAAAGGGTCACAGCATTAGGAAGGTTGAGAACCACTGTCCTAAGAAATCTTTTGGGATTAGAGAGGGAATCCATTGCTTTTGTATTTAAAATATAAACATACTTTAATTATGGCCCTAGATAGACCTTTATTTTTTATTTTATTTTTATTGAAAATAAATATTTTCCATTCAGTATATTCTGATTATGGTTTCCCTTCCTCGTATCTCCCACATCCTCCCCACCTCCTTGCCCTTCCAACTCTACAACTTCTTTTTCTGTCTCTTAGAAAAACAAATAAACTAGAATAAAGCAAAACCAAATAAAAAACAAAGAAAAAGCTGAAGAAGCAGTATACATGCAGACACACAAACAAAACCCATAGGAACACAAAGTATGGTCAAAAATACCCAAACAAGGGAATATGAGACAAAAACATCTCCAAAAATACTGTTGAGCTTTTTGTCTTGGCCGTCTACTTGCTGGGCATGAGGCCTGCCTCTAAGTGTGGTTTGTACGCCCAGTGAGACTCACTGTGTGAGCGGTTGGTTGTCAATGGGAGATGGCTTGCACAGGTCCAAGCCAGATGGGATCCCAGCCCTGAGAGGGCAGTGGACACAAACTCCCATCCCTGACTGAGAAGCTATCTCCGGTAGGCACTAATTTGAAAGGAAGAAAAGTGATAACAGAAGCATTTGATCTTTTGACTGTGGTACCCAAGATTCTGAGAACATGGAAGAACAGCACTGAGGCCCATCTACTGCTTTCCATCTATGTGAGCTGCTAAACTACCCATAATAGAATGAGCTTTGTGTGATGTGTTGATAGCTAGTTAAATGTGCACACAGATCAACGCACTTCTCAGTGTCAGCCATTCAGTTACAACTCAGCAGCTGGGGCAAGATGGGGCTCCTGTGTTCATAACCATTTCTTCTTTCATGTTACTCTGCTTCCCTCGAAGCCCCCAGGCTGGCTGGCAGCAGTGTGCCCTGCCCTTCCTCCGTTTGACTTGGTCGCTGCAGGTTGTCTGGTGTGCTCATCTCTGGCCACTGCTCTTGTTTTTCCCCTCTCCTCCCCCTTTGTGTACAGGCTCTGGAGGAAGGGTCAGCTGCCGCCTTGTTCGTGTTCCAGGAGTTGATGGTGGGCTGGCTCTCAGCCTGCGCATCATCCTGTGCCTCTGAGTCCTCATGCTAACCCTGGGAGGTGAAGCCTGGCTTCGTAGTTCCTCACAGGCTCTGTAGTGTCGGAACCAGGTACAAGGCAGAGTTCTCAGCACTCGTCCTCCACAGGACACCTGTGGATTGGACAGGCCAGGCTTCACACCTGCCTGTTCTGGTGGAGACCTTATGTCCCCATGACCATGCTGACAGCTGAGGACAGTGAAGCGAGCGAACTCTTGGGGAGTTCCTCAGTCAGTGTCTGGTGTGATGGCCACGGGCTTCAAGGCCCCCAGACTCTTCGAGCACACCCTTGTGCTGCTCCCTAGAGTCTGTGGACTGGTTTTCATGTTAATAACCATTTTCAAATGACTGCTCATTCAAATGACTTCTCAATATTATTGGATGGATCATTTAAATCAGATTATTTTTTGTTTCTGACTCCCATGTTTTCTCTGTATAGGCAACATCCTAGGTGTCATCCGAGACCATAAAAAGCTTGTCAGTACATTTCGACTGATGCGAAGAGCAGGCTACATCAATGAATTTGTTTCTATCTCTACAAATCTTACAGACCGCTGTGTTTATATTTCCTCTGATGGAGGACGGTTGTGCAGGTATGTTGTTATAAAGAACTTAAGCCTCTTCATGTGAACTTTTGACAGAATTGGCCTCGCTTTTAGTTTTGAAGCTGCTTTAACCTTTCTTGTCCTGGAGATGAATTTAATTCAGTTACAAACACTTTAGAGACTAATGGGAGGTTTGAAAACCAATGGGAGATAATTTTTGTCCTCAAAGTTTTATCTGCCAGGAAAAACAGAAATAATTACTAGCAACAACCAGCTGTGCTAGGAAAGGATGCTGTCTGTTGTCTTATTGGGTGTGCTGTGTGTGAGACTCTTATTTGAATTATTTTCTTCTTTAGTGAGGAACTTGGTGGGTCTGTGAAGCTGGAGTAGAGTAGAATTGGGTTTTTCTTGGCAGTCCCCGAAGTCACTTGACTCCGGAGTCTCTCCCTCTGTACTCTCCTGAGCTTTGAGGTTCTAGTGGAGTTGGAGAGTAACTGGAGAAAGGCGGAGGCAAGCCGAGAGTGAAAGTGTGAAGACCCAGATGAAGAAGGTAACTAGAAAAGTAGGCTCCTTTTGTTCCCGTGTCGAGTGTTGAGGTGCTTGTCACGCACAGGTGGAGTCCTTCAAGCAGACGACACCCAACTAGTGTCTGCCCCCACGCCGGCAGACGTAAGCTCAGATCACCTCTTGCTCGGTGCTCCCTGGATCCTCACAGCTGTCTCAGCTCCTGATCTTTCTCAGTATTTCTCCTCGTCCTTGACTCTCATTCCTTCTGGCGCATTCTTAATGCTTAGAGTAAAGTAATTTTTGTTTAACCTGTTCAGAATTGGTTTCTTTTACGGTGTTGCTGAAATAAGATACCCACGCTTGAGTCCCAACTGGCCACTTAGTGACTGTGATTCGGAGTCTTCTTAACTTTCTGGGGCTTGGTTTTCTTGACTGAAATGTAAGTGGTAGTGCCTACCTATGTCTGGGCTAAGAACTAGCTAGTAGGCTGTGGTAAGTGCTTACATGGAGTTGTTACTAAATGGCCTAGGCAGGCATGGTGGCTCAGTGACCTTAATCCTAGCATTTAGGAGGCAGAGGCTGGTGGTGGATCTCTGTGAGGTCCACCCTGGTCTCTGTGGTGCGATCCTGACTTAAAAAGAGGAAGGAAGCAGGTATTAGACAACATGACTTTCTGAGAGGCAGGAAAAGCAGTGGCATGTTCTAAACTATTCCTGTTTGGAATTTCTTTATTTCACTGTATCCATATAATAAAACATGTTCTAAAATAAAGCTAGTTGTTTTTCAGAAGTAATTTTATAATAGCAGATCACAGATCTGGCTGGATAGGAGAATTTATTGAGTAAAGGGACTTCTCCCCTTCCTACTCTGGTTTCTGCTCTGTCTTGTGAGCCTCGACCTGAGCTCCAGGAGCGGGGGTGGGGGGGGTGGGGGGGGTGGGGGGGTGGGGGTGGGCGGGGCTCCTGGAGCGTGGCAGGAGCAGGTCTGCTTCTCACCAAAAAGCCAGAATTTGAGGTACTTCCTTGAAGAGCTCGTCCAACTCCTGTTCATGCTCATGCCCCCTTTTGTGAGTGATGAGCTCTCCTTGCTCGTTGGTCTTCACATCCTTATTTGGGCTTCAGGACAGACACGCAAGTGTCTGCTAGCACCTCACTCCCCCGTAAGAGCTGTTTCTCTAAATAGCCGCAGCCCTTGATGCTTCCGTGCGTGCCTCTTCTGTTTGTGGGTGTTTCCTGCAGAGGCAAGTCACTGCGGACAGTTACAGGTCAGTCTGCCAGAGTACTCCCTCCATCTCACCCCCATTGGTCATAATTCCTCAGGAAGGAAGCTGTGTTCTTGGTAAACATACAGCCAAGTGAGCTGTTTGTCTGTTCGGTGATGTTTGTCATGCATCCAACCACCTCAGACGTCTGGGTCTCCTCTGAACTCTTAGAATAGCTGCCATTATTGTCTTCAGTGACAAGTCTTTGCCTGCGAACACCGTAGGCATTACAGCAATTCTTCTGTGTGGAGATATGTCCCAGGATTCCCCAGTGCATGGCTAAAACCATCTATAGTACCCAGTCTCTAAAATACCATCCTTTTAATCAGATAACTGAGACTGCTACTAAATGGCTAACAGGCAGGTGTCCTGTTAGTGCTGTGTAGTACGGATGCCCTAGAGAAAAGGGTGATTCCCTTCCCAGGTAGAATGGAGCAGGGTGGTACAGGATTTCACCACACTGCCCAGAAGGGTACATGATTTAAAACTTCCTAGACCACAGTTGACTCTAAACTAAAGTCACCAAAAGCACAAAAACACTGAAGCATGTGTAAAGGGAGATTCTATACAGCAAATATTCCCAGTGGAAAATAAAGAGGTGCTTCTCTAGTGCTTTACACAGTCTAAAAAGTATGGCGTGAAGATTCTGTGCCCTGTCGAGACTTCAGTGACTATGATCCTTACGTTGCCTTTTCATTTAAATCCAAATGATTCTTAGGACAATTGGAAGGGAAACTGAGTGGTGAACACATACTCACTTAAGTATAGTGGTGTGTGTGTGTGTGTGTGTGTGTGTGTGTGTGTGTGTGTGTGTGTGTGTAGCAGAGAATACAGTATGTCCTCAGTCTATTCCAGGAAGTATAGGGGTGTGTGTGTGTGTGTGTGTGTGTGGGTGTGTGTGTGTAGCAGAGAATACTGTATGTCCTCAGTCTATTCCAGGACAAGCTGCATCTACCCTGTCTCATTCCACAGTGGTGAATAGAACTGGCTGATGTCATTCTTCTAGTAAGTTGTTATTCTCCTTCCTAGGCCTTACATAATTGTCAAGAGACAAAAGCCAGCAGTCACAAATAAGCATATGGAAGAATTGGCTCAAGGTTACAGGTAAGTGATCAAAAGTAGGAGTTGTTAATCTCTTTAACTATGGACTCACATGCTTTAATCAGCAGTAACGTTCTTGGATATATACTGTAGGAAAGTATATTTTCATCTCCAGTCTATTGACTCCTCCCCACAAGTATACCACAGCCAGTTAAAAATCATCCATGTGCAGTCGCCGGCATGTGATGAAGTACTTAACAACTTAGCTCCTGAGGATTATAGAGCCTTGATGTAAATCACTCTCCATTAGCTGCTTCCACAAAGCAAACCCTCATGGCCTTGTTGCTGATGGAGACACTGCATCCTCATACCAGTTTCTAAAGTCGATGTTCTTAGGAGTGGGGACCAGATTGGCAAGTGCTTTTATTTTAGTGACTTGTAACCCATAAACATGGGTTTCAGCTATCTCAGTGTATGGATTCTCTCTAGGGGAGAATGGAATTAGGGAACGAATGAAAACCAGGGTCTTTTGTTGTCATATACAGTACTGCAGCAAAATGTTTCAGTGTCTCCTTTACCACTATTTTTCAGGAACTTTGAAGATTTCTTACACGAGAGTCTAGTTGAGTACTTAGATGTGAATGAAGAAAATGATTGTAACATTGCACTCTACGAGCACACGATTAATAAGTAAGTAAGATTGGAACAACCACAGTTCAAGTCCATGTGTCCATAGAAAGTCCTGTGTTTTCACTGTCCTGTTAGGTCCTGGGGGTTGTTTTGTAATAAAGTATAACTGTCGTTGGTCCCCGTGAAATGCCACAGAATCACTCACAAGTGGTCTTTAGATTGAATTATCCCTCCTACCATGTGACATTTGGTGTATACTTTTAAAAAGAATTGCCTCTCTGATTTTAATATCCAACCACAGTAAACATTGAGCTAATGAGTCAGGATTCAGAATATATATTTGTCTGTCTTAGATAGGATTTTGTCAGTGGATATCTGAAATCTTCTTGTTGGAGTAGGAATTCCACACATAGTATGTTGTAAAAACATTGCTGAACATATGTGCAGTGTAAACTTGAGATGCCAATGTGTTCATAATATCTCTTCTACCACACTGGTATTCTGAAGCCTCTGTGTTCCCTTTGGAAGACATCGGAGGACGTCTGTACAACTTGCTTTGCAGCCATTAATGTACCACTTGGCTGAAACGGGAATTTCTGTAGTTATATTTTTAAAAGGAAGTTTAATACTCATACTTGATAACTGTTCATATCTCCAACCACAAACAAGTAATTTCCTTCTTTCTGCTACCAGAGAAATGTATGTTTGTATTACAACTTGATAAATTATGCTTTTTAGTCAGGATTTTACACCTTCAGGTGATGAGCTTTTCAAATTACTCTTATACTCCACATTACAAGATGGAATATAAAAGAACTGTTTTGTAGTAGACTCTGTTTTAGAGACAGCATCTCATTATGTAGCCCTGACTGATCTGGAACTTACCATAAAGCCCAGGCTAGCCTCAGAGATTCTTACATGTCTGTCTTCCAGGTACTGGGATTACAGGTGTGCATTACCGCCATGTTTAGCCTGTAGCACATGTATAGGTGACAGATAAGTCCTGTGTTCTTGAGCCCTGATTGCTCTCACCTGTCCATGGTTCACCACCCCATCTTCCACTGAGTCCAGGAGGCTGCGGTTGCTTGTCCCCCGCAGCCTTCCATGTCTCTCAGGAGTTCTTAGGACGTTTGCTCACACTCCTTCTCCCCTCCCCCACTGTCAGCCATACTGGCCTCTCTTCACCTCCTGGGCCTCCTTCAGACCTGCAGTCGGGTCACTGTTGTGCGGCCTGAGGACCCCTTATAAACAAACACCCGTATGTCTTTGCCCTCCTCACTGCTGGTGCTTACTGCCGTGGAGTAAAAGTGTGTTTTACTGACCCATTTGTGTACTGCATATCTTCCTGCAGTAGGGCATTACAGGGCAGGGGTTTGCCCAGTCGCCAAGATACTGTTTGGATCAAATTCATTGTATTTTAAAATATAATTCTATTGTTTTATTCATAGTCTAGATGGGTTTTTTAATGTAGATGTCCATAAAATTTAAAAAATGAACTTAGACTTGGAGTGTAACCCAGATGGCAGAGTACTTGCCTAGCATATACAAAGCATATTGTATATGCTAGGCAAGCACCGCATACAAGCCCCAGCACCCAGTAAAGCCAGGCCTAATGGCACCTGCCTTTAGCAGGGCACACACCTTTAAGCCCAGCACCCAGGAGGCAGAGGCAGGCAGATCTCTAGGAGAGCTAGAGCTACAAAATGAGATCCTGTTTCGAAAAAATTAAAATTAAAATTAAAACCTGGTTTAGTGGTACATGCCTGTAATCCTATCACTCCAGAGGTGGCGGCCACAGGATCAGAAATTCCTAGTGATCTTCACTCTGTCCTGTGCTCCGTAAGACCCCGCCTCCATGAAAAGACTGAACCTGCGTTCTTCCCCATCCCATAAGAGTCCATGTCCCACAGTACCCAGCACTGGCTGTTTACTGTGTGCTAAGTAAATGTAAGTGTGTTACATGTAGTAAAATCTCTTAATTGCTGTTCAGGATACATTAACAGTGGTTATGATTTTAAAGGAAATTATTTTTCTTTTTCATAAAACTAAAATTCAGAGCATTTAGATGTTCAATATTTATGAGAGGCTATATAATCTTATATATGTCACTGTGATAAAAGAAAAACTGTGTTTCCTTTTTTTTTTTAATTAACTCAATCTTTATATCTTACAAATGCTTTTTTTTTTTTTTTTTTTTTTTTAACAGAATTTCATCCTGGCTAGTATTTAGGCAAAACATTGTACTTAAGGAAATTCTGGGTTTGCTTGCTTGTTTTTTTTCCAGTACCAGGAATTGAACCTAGGACCTCAAATGTGCTAGTCAAGTTCTCCATCACTAATCCACATCCCCTAACCAAACTCTGTTTCATTCTAGAGTAGAGAATTCAGCTTTAAGTTCTGCTTCTTAAAACAAAAATCCCCTAGACCTTTCTCCACTCTGCTGACAAAGGTTCTGATCACATCTCAGGTTCTGCTAGAAAATGCTGTTCTTCTGCGAGGCGTTTACCCACCAACCCCACAGTTCCCCAGAGTTTTCTTGAGTGTGAGCAGCAGGAATTATTAGATAGAAGAATTTAGATTGTGGAGATAAAGAGATAGAAAATAAAGGATAGCCTCGAGAGGGCCTGGAACCTATTCCAACGGGCCCTGACTAGCTCTGCCCCAGGGTATTTATAGAGATGCCAAGGGGTGGAGCAAAAGACCTCCTCCCCCAGCACAGCCAAGTGCAGACCATCTCAGACACCTGCACTCAGACCCGTGGTCCTAATCATCCTCTCTATGCAGACCTGAAAACGGGCTCCCGCATTCTTCCAGCTTAGAGATAGTGGAAAGCATGCCCCCCTCAGGTACATTATAGCTCAATTTCCACAGTGGGTGGGGACCTGGTTTCCTAGAATCTCCTCTTCCCTCAGGTGCTGTGAACCTTTGAAATGGCTCAGGTTCTATTGTGTGGACCCTTGGGTGAGGAACAGAGGATCACTGTGTGGCGTGTATCCTGAATATATGACATGCGTTACTTTGAGTAAAAACCCTTGCATACTCTGGCTGCTCTCTCCCATGAAAACATCCTAACTACTTTACTATTTAGCCCTAACCTGAGTTTTCTGCAGAAATGTATTATGAAGTAAAAAGATTCTGACACCTATTAGATTTCTATAACAAACCTATCCTATAAGAACATAGTGCGAGGCCCCAGTACCTACAGATTTCTAGTCGCCATATGAACAGGAAAATAATGAGTGATGGATACTGAGGACTGAATCTGGGGCTTCACAAGTGCTGGATAGGTTCTTGACCACCTAGCTCTATCCCCAGCCCTTAATTTTAATATTTTTGTGATCCCACTCTGTCCAAAATATTGTGTCATCATAATGAACATTTTAACGAGATATTTTACATTCTTCCCATTGTAAGTCTTTAAAATATTATATATACCTATAGCCAAATTTCATTAGAAATGCTAAATCTGATAGAACTTTCACAGTTGAATAGGTAGATTCACAAATGTAAATTGTTTGAAATATAATGACAGTTTAAAATAAGAAACTGAGTTATTTAATTTAAATTTAAACTTGAGTTTTAAATTTTAAATCCATTAAAATTGGGTAAAATCTGAAATTTAGTTCTTTAGTAGCCTAATGTTTCAACTGCTCAGTAGGCACCATCAGCTAATGACTACCACTGGTCTGCACAGGTCTGTAGTGACTCATTTTTCAAAGAGATCTATTCCTATCCCCACACAGTGATGCAGGCTCCTTATTGATAGAAGGGAAAGCACACTTCTCGCCCATGTACAAGTTAGTGCACCATACTTCTGTGTTTGGTATAGAAATTCCTCTCTGTAATATACCATTGGTAGTGTGTATGATAATATCACTTTATTTTTATATAGACACTGTTACACTGTCTCCCTTCTCTTTTATTTCCATCACTGGTAAGAATTTTTATCACAGAACAGTTTAAATTCTTAGGTTTCATCACACTTTATTTCAGCATGTTTTTATTTTAGCAGTTTCACTAGCATCAAAGTTTATTGTCTTATAAGTCCCTTGGGGACCTAGGAAATAGTAATTTTTATATCCTTAAACAGATACTGATTTTAGTATTTGATGCCTAAACTGCCTAACTCTTCATTAACTTGCTAGAGATACCACCCACCTGGAGATTGAACCCTTCACTCTTCTTGGTGTTTGTGCTGGCCTTATCCCATACCCGCATCATAACCAGTCTCCAAGGAACACCTACCAGTGTGCCATGGGCAAGCAAGCCATGGGTAAGATGCCTTTAACCTGTGTCTACACGATTTGGAAAAAGACTTCCATCTTTCTTCTCACTAGTGTGTGTTTGGACAAATCAGATGTTGCCAACCAAGCTCAAGGGCCCGTGGAGCCCTGGTGCCTGCAGGATCCCTGCCCTGTCTTTTGCTTGAATAAATGCAGATCTCAGCTTGTTTCCTTAGCCAACAAGAAAGCACAAAATACATTTCCCGTAATTGTGAGTGACTATAAACATCAAAGCCCTGGAAGTGTAAGTTGACCAGGAAAGGTATATGAAGGAGCAGAGCAGTGGAAAGTGAAGGAGGGGGAGGTTGAGGTTACCAGGGAGGTTTACTGATAGTCACAAACTTGTCCTGTTCTGCTGTTGTGTCTCCTAAAACTTACACACCAGTTTCCAAGTCCTTTTCCTTCCCTTTCTCCTGTCTTCCTATAATTTATCTACCCGTCCACACATCCGTAACCTTTGCTGAGCAAGACTGGCAGTCAGGTGTGGGGGGAGGAGCCTGGACGCAGACAGCAGACAGAGCTCTCTGGGAAGGAGTTTCAGTGCACCCGGAGGACCAGCAGATCAAACCTCTCCAGGATCTGGGGATGGAGAGGGAGAAGAGGCCATGCAAAGCTGGAACCGCATTGAATCTTGGAAGGGAAGCATCTTTCCAAGAGAAAATAGGAGCAAGCATTTTATGGGAGCCTTGCTGCATGGTGTGTCTTTGTGGGAAGAAGACAGAGCGATGTGGAGGAGAGTATACACTACACGGAGAGTCAGTATGACCCAGGGAGCAGTCTGAGGAGTCCAGCCCATAAACAGTCTCACTTAGAGACTTGTTGAAAGTGGTTTTCAAATCCTAGTACTCTTAATGAATTTCCACTCCCCTTATGACATATCATTTCTAATCTCAGGGGCTACAGGAGCTTCATTTTCAACATTGTGAACACAGAGAGGAAGGTCCTGTGTTGCCATGCTCAGCCTCTGTCCCTCTTCCAGCTGCAGCTGGCCTTAGGAAATTCTGTTTGCTCAGACAGACAGGAAGTGTAGAGACATCTTCCTGAGTTCTCTGTGCCCTTTGCCTGGCTGTGGAGAGATGAGGCACAGTGTCCCACCACCGTTTACCTGAATGGTGTGGTGGTGGGCAGCTCTGAAGAGCGGCTCACCCATTTATGTCCCATCACCCCGGTGTGTAGTCTGATGTCCTGCTCCTGCTTGCTCCCAAGTTTCTGCAGACAGCACCGGATGTCACGGAAGGACTTTCACTGCTTTGGGGTTTACCAAACCACTTTGTTTCGTGATGTGAATCCCTGCTGAAACAATACACCTTTTGTGGAGACCTTCAGCAGAATTAACACGAGACTAATCACTCCTCACCAATGCCGCTTGTTTTGTTTGGAGATACAAACCGAAGCACTGGCCATCTCCAGCTAGTGAAACTGTTTTAAACATAAAGAACAGACTTAAAAAAGGGGGAAATTGTTTTTATCACAACCCTCCCCACCAAAAACAAACAAACAAACAAAACACAGCCTTTATTTTGCGGCCCCACGTCTGAAGCGTTGGGCTAGTTACCACACACAGTCGGGCAGGATCAGTGTGCACAGAAAGCCGATTCAGTGTCTGGGGAGTTCTTTTGTAGTCTTCTGTGTGAAGGTTTTTTCCTCGTTTTGTTCTGAGTGTCATTTGCAATTCATTGTCTGTGTTTTCTGAGGTTGGTGTATTCAGCTGCTCTGACCCTGGGTCTTGCACAGTTAGCTCCTTGGATACAATCCTCTGACGTTACTGCTGACGCCGGCAAGACAAAAGCTGCTGAATATGTTAAGTCATAAAAAAAAAATGCCTTTCTACTGTTTGTTATTATAAAACACACCTGACTGGGAAGGAGGGCCTAGAGAAGTGCATTTCAAGTTGGCACATGGCTTGGCCACCTTCCCCTTTGATCCTGAAACAGCTGCAAGAGTAGCAGAGGGTCTGTGTGAGAGACAGACACGGGAAAAGGTCAGTGAGGGAGAGGGCCCATCAGAGGCCCAGGTCCCAGGCAAGCCCGGCCCTTTGAGCAGGGCTGCTCCGGATCAGTTGAGCTCCCTGAGTCCTGGCAGCTAGGAACTAAAGCCATTTGAAAGAGGGCACATTGCTGAAGACTGTTTTAATCTCATAGCCTGTGTGGATTTTCCAAAGTAATATTTTCCTTGTTATTTGTCTGCTAGTCATGTAGAAAGTGAAAGAGACTTACTAATCCAGAACTGGCTCACTAAATATTCTAGCCAACCTGGAAGATTTGTGTGTCCAACCCATTGCCCTTTCAACACCCCCTCAGAGAATGAAACACAGTAACTCCTTTTCTCTTCTACAAAGAAGAGCGCCAGGACCTGTGTGACCACAGGAACTCAGAGCCAATCCCACAAGCCGGCTGCAGAGGTGCTTCTTAAATGGCAGACGCTTTAACTATTAAGTTTAATTCTCCACATGGCATCTCTCTGCGCTGCTGAGACCCTCTCACTTCTGTGGGTGTGGCTGCCGGTGTCCTGACCTTTCAGGATAGAAAGTCAGGTAAACATCTGGAACCGGTCAGGCTCCAGGTCTCTGGGCACTGGCTGTGTGCTGGAGCGGTGGGGTGCGCTCATAAGGCTGAGCTCAGCCTCTCCCTCTCAGATCCTGCCTCTTACTAGCTGGCAGTCCTCTAGTGGAACACTTTCTCCTGAAAGGATCCCTCAGTCTCTATCAGCAAGTTAATGAATATGCATCATGGCCTTCCTCCAGCCCTTCCCCCATGAGCTCCAGATTGCCGGACTAAAACAAAACAAAAAAAGCAAAAAAACTGAGGAGCTGGGACGACCTCCTTTTGTCTTCAGCAGAGTCTGTCTCTGAGAAGACCATCTCCTCCCGTGTTTAAGCTGGGACGGGGTGGCCTGAAATTGAGGTATTTAAAGCACATGATGTTCAAGAATCCTCATCAAACAAACTGTTGCATCCCCCTGTCCCGGTGTTTGTTTTGCATATCTACTTACTTGTTTAGGAGTTCTAAGAAATGGAGGGGAAAGCCTTCGCCATTTATTCATGAGGATTTTTAAAATTCTGTTGATTAAGGTTTTTTAATCACTGTACCTCTTCTGGGTGTAGGTGTGTGTGGTAGTTCCTGACTGAAATGCTTCCGTATTATCTCAAGTCTCTCCGGAGCTTCAAACACCGTGTCTGCATTCCGTACTAGACTCACTCACGTGGGTGAGGTTCCTGTGGTCCGGCTTCTGTGGTTTCTGTGGTTCCCCTGAGAGTGATAGGAAGTCACTGCTTCAGTCTGAGTTCAGTCTGTGGGTGAGAACCCAGGGCTTCATTCATGCCAAACACATGCTCTACCAGACCTGTCCCCAGACCTCCAAATTCTTACACAAATTTGTTTTTTAGGCGAGATAACAATCTGTGAGGCATGCCCTTTTTTTTCCTGACAAGAAAGCTGAATTCCAGAGTGGTTGAATAGCTTGCACCATGGTGCATTATATCTCTTACAGAATCTCCTTTATAAGATTTACTGAAGTTCTTCTCTACAAAAACTCATGTCCTTCCTATTTCCTGAACTTTTGTGGCCCTAATCAGGCTGGCTTTTGTACTACAGTATAGGTTATAAACTCATTGAAGACAGGAACGTACTTTATTATTGTGTCCTTGTGCTCAGCCAGCTTGGTGGGTGGCATGGTAAATACGTCATAAATGTTTCTGAAACAATGAATAAATGAATGGATGGGTGGGTAAATGAATGACGCTAATACACCGCTGGATTAGGTGGCACAGGTCCTTAATTTCAGCACTTGGGAGACGGAGTCAGATAGAACTCCGTGAGTTCCAGGCCAACAGGGTTATATCTTGAGGTATTTGTCTCAAAAAAATGCACAAAGTGGAGAATGATTAAGAAAAAAAAATCCGGCATTAATCTCTGGCCTCCATGCACACACATGCATGCACAACTGCACACACGCACACACATACACAGGGAGGCAGGACGGGAGTTTTCAGCTAAAGAAGTCATACAACCACCTGATTCTGGTTTGTTCTAAAGCTTCAACAAGAGAGACAGTGTGATATTGAGTCAAGGGTAGGTGTGTGATTGGACAGAACAGAATTAACCGTTGAGAAAGAGGTGCGAGCGTTTATAAGCAGCTGATTTTCTGTCTCTCTCTCTCGTATTTGAGACAGGGTCTCACTATGTATCCCCACCTAGCCTACTCACTATGTAAACAAGGCTGGCCTCAAACTCGTGCAGATATGCCTGCCTTTGCCAAGCGAGTGCCAGGATTAAAGGTGTGTGCCAACACACCCGGCTCTGGTCTGAATTTCTTTACAGTCATTATCCCCCATTTTGAAGCACTAAGTTGTCTTTATAACTAATGTTTGGGGTTTTTTTAAAGAGTTTTTTAAATTACGTGTGCGGTGTGGGAGGAGGAGAGAATGTGCCTGAGTGCAGGTGCCCACAGATGTCAGTGCCCTGGAACTGGAGTCATCCATGGTTGTGACTTCCGGGTTGGGCACTCGGAACTGTACTGCAGTCCTCTGGAAGAGCAGCAAGTGCTCTTTATTGCCGAGCTCTCTCTCCAGCCCTGACAAATGATTTTTAATGAAAGTCTCATAACAGTTGTTTGGGGGAAAAAATTCTCGACTAAATATATTTTATTTTGTATATCTATATATAAAAAGTGAATATCAATTCCTATCTGATATCATAAAAGTATTAATATAAAATGAATCATACCCTAAACATAAGAGCTAAAACTAAAACTTGGAAAACAAAACAAAAAAACCCAAACCAAACAAACAAAAAAAGCCAGGCATGGTGGCACACACCTTTAATCCCACCTTTAATCTTACATTCTCAAAGATGTTACATTTCTTCTTCAAGTTTTAGTTTTTTGTTTTTGTTTTTTCGAGACAGGGTTTCTCTGTGTAGTTTTGTGCCTTTCCTGGAACTTGCTTTGTAGACCAGGCTGGCCTCGAACTCACAGAGATCCACCTGCCTCTGCCTCCCGAGTACTGGGATTAAAGGCGTGCGCCGCCGCCGCCGCCGCCGCCGCCGCCGCCGCCACCACCACCACCACCGGCTCCATCTCACCTTAAATAACCTTTTCCCTGTTTTAACATACATGTGTTTATGTTGTAGGCCCCTTGATAACTTACGGAAGTTATCAGGAAGATGTGGCTCAGTAAGAAAAACGGTGTCCTGTAGTAAGCAAAGGGAGTCACTGGAGACAGTGGTTACAGTGAAACTGGGCCATAGAAACGAAGCACAGCCTGTAGGTGCCTCCTGTGTTAGCGGTGTGCCGTGTGCATGCCGGGCCAGCACAGCCGCTGAGCTGCAGCCCAGTCCTGCAGTGCTCTGGAAGGAGACTGAAGCAGCAGGAAGGTCATTTTAGCTGAGCCTGTGCTTCCTTGGGCAAGCCTCTTGACTCAGTTTCTCTAGATACTTTCTCAAACAAAAACCCTTCTTGACAAATATTCATAATTTTAGAAAAAAATGTAAGGATTTGGTGGCATTGTAAGAATCTGTGGTATAGAAATTTAGTTTATATGTACTGTTTTAATATAAACATCCATTATGCTTCCAAAAATACTGTGTATAAGTATAGTACATACATTTTTTAAAGAAAAGTCTCCGATGAATCATAACCCCAGATGTGTTCAATGATCCTGCTGTTCCTCCATTTAGTGGTCAGTAGTAATGCTTGAGACTCACGTTCTGCGCTTGAGAGCACAGTGTACAGCGGGATCGGGCTCCGTGGCCATTGTTGAGAGACACGGCCACTTACGTTTCCCTGCTGCACGATAATGCTTGTCTCAGTTTCAGAAGACATGTTTTGGCAGCCTGGTGGGACATTGCCTGAATCCTCAGCTCAAGCTGAGTAAACTGCACAGCTGGAACTGAAGTCACAGCGTAAATTTTAAGTGGCTTCATAGAAAGACGTAAACTTATTGTCCGGGGACTGAGTCACGATCCCAGCAGCACTAGTCTTTCCGAAAGCAGCACATGGTCACTGTCACGTGTCTTGTCCAGTCGATTCGCTGTCACTAAAAGAACACAAATTGCAATTCCTAGTGCAAACTCAACCAAAGGGCCACGAGGTGCAATTTGACAATTGTTTTTCAGCTGATTTTTGGTAAGTTTTGTAGAGATTTAAGCACAGATACATATGCACTGTTAAGAAGCACAAGTTCTTCACTTTGATTTGTTTGTCATTTCCCGAGCAACCGTAATGAGCTCCCCAGTCTACGACGCCTCCCTCCAGCGCGGCCCTTGTTGTTTGTGACCTTTGGTGGTGATTGTCAGGCAGTACAAATCTTTTTTTCTTTTTGCTGCTCGAGTAGTTGGTTTCAGTCTTTTTTTGTTTGCTTTTGTTTTTTGTTTTTTTGAGACAGGGTTTCTCTGTGTAGCTTTGAGCCTTTCCTGGATCTCGCTCTGTAGACCAGGCTGGCCTTGAACTCACAGAGATCCGCCTGCCTCTGCCTCCCGAGTGCTGGGATTAAAGGCGTGCGCTACCACCGCCCGACTGGTTTTAGTCTTGATTTAAGATTGCTGTTGATTTTTTTTGGGTGGGGGAGGTAGTGGTGGGGATGGAACGCAGGTGATCTAATAGCACAAAGATGCAGAAGTTGGAGGAAATCAAATACAGAGTTTGGCTCAGCTCCACACAGTAGCACTTAGGGCCCATGCATGGAGCAAGCAAAGCGTCTGCTAATGCTGACACCTCGTCTCCTCAGTCACTCCTCAGTGAAGAAGTGCTCAGAAGTTCAGGGGATTCAGTAGCCCCCAAATGATCTACCGTGGGGCAGGTTTTAGTTTCCTAGTTTAAACATCTCTGTTTTAAAATCAACCTTGTGCCTATGAGCCCAAAACATGGAAAGACTCTACTTCAGGAAAACCATGAAGCCCACTGTAGGGTTAACGTTCAGATTTTACTTGTAGATGACAATTGCCCAGTAACACATACTTCTAAGGACTGTCAGGTGAGAAGGCTCCTCATCCTAACCAGACTACATCCTCACTCCTCATCCTAACTAGACTACATCCTCACTCCTCATCCTAACTAGACTGTCCTCACTCCTCATCCTAACCAGACTACATCCTCACTCCTCATCCTAACTAGACTCTGTCCTCACTCCTCATCCTAACCAGACTACATCCTCACTCCTCATCCTAACCAGACTCTGTCCTCACTCCTCATCCTAACCAGACTACATCCTCACTCCTCATCCTAACCAGACTACATCCTCACTCCTCATCCTAACCAGACTCTGTCCTCACTCCTCATCCTAACCAGACTACATCCTCACTCCTCATCCTAACTAGACTGTCCTCACTCCTCATCCTAACCAGACTATGTCCTCACTCCTCATCCTAACCAGACTCTGTCCTCACTCCTCATCCTAACCAGACTCTGTCCTCACTCCTCATCCTAACCAGACTCTGTCCTCACTCCTCATCCTAACTAGACTGTCCTCACTCCTCATCCTAACCAGACTCTGTCCTCACTCCTCATCCTAACCAGACTCTGTCCTCACTCCTCATCCTAACTAGACTGTCCTCACTCCTCATCCTAACCAGACTCTGTCCTCACTCCTCATCCTAACCAGACTCTGTCCTCACTCCTCATCCTAACCAGACTATGTCCTCACTCCTCATCCTAACCAGACTACATCCTCACTCCTCATCCTAACCAGACTCTGTCCTCACTCCTCATCCTAACTAGACTCTGTCCTCACTCCTCATCCTAACCAGACTCTGTCCTCACTCCTCATCCTAACCAGACTATGTCCTCACTCCTCATCCTAACCAGACTCTGTCCTCACTCCTCATCCTAACCAGACTCTGTCCTCACTCCTCATCCTAACCAGACTCTGTCCTCACTCCTCATCCTAACTAGACTGTCTTCACTTCCTTAGGAGAGGGGACCTGGCATTTCCCCAAGTGTTCCTCATGTTTGGTGCAGGTAGATGTTTTTGTTTTTTGTTTTTGTTTTGTTTTGTTTTGTTTGCCGCTTTATAATAACAAATTAACAAATCCAAGCTTCTCTGCTGTCATTTGAATTCTTCTTTCTTCCACCCATTCCTCCTCTTTTCCTTTCTTTTTCACTTAAAACCTTTGCTGTCATTAGATGCATATTTTCGTTGCGCTGTGTCAGCTCCTGCATGTGAAGACTCGGTGTTCTCACATCATCTGAACAGAACCCAGTATAGGTTCAGGTACTGAACTTGTAAAATTAACCAGTAACAACTATATTAAGTCCAAAAAGCTGAAATGATTTAGATTGTCATTACTCTGATTGTATTTCTGGGATTTTAAATATTAGGGAGAAAAGTTGCTTTCGAAATCAATGGCTACCATATGGGTATTACTTTTGTATTTTAGTTAAGCAAATTTAATGTATTTAAATTCAATGCTACCTGATTATTCTACAGGATATAATGATTGGTTTTGTTTTCTTCAATATTAATAAAGGTACCATTGGATACAACCAGCGAAACAGAATTGATACACTTATGTATCTACTGGCATATCCACAAAAACCCATGGTTAAAACGAAGACCATTGAGTTGATAGATTTTGAGAAATTGCCAGCTGGACAGAATGCAACCGTTGCCGTGATGAGTTACAGCGGCTATGACATCGAAGATGCGCTTGTCTTGAACAAGGCCTCCCTAGACAGGGGTAAGTGAATTCTCAGAGCTTGAACACCAGAAGTACTGTTTTCAGAGTCAGATAGTGAGTGATGGTTATTGGTGTTAGAACACAGTGCAGGTTTCGAGTATTTGACCTTTATACACAAACTCGGGCTGTTGTAGATTTTATTTAAATTGAGAATTTCATAGGAGGACTGTATGTCATCCCACCCCTCTTTCTCCGTTTTTCATCGCCCCCATCCAAATTAATAACCTCTTTATTGTTATACACACACATGTTTATAAAATGTCTAAGTCCATTTAATGTTGCTATGTGTACATGTGTTTAGGACTGACCATGTGGGATTGACTAACCTATCGGGGAGCTTGTCCCTAGAGAAGACTTGATTTTCCCTATCAGCAGCCATTGATTGCCTTTAGCTCTTAAGCTCGAGGTAGAAACTTGTAAATCTCCCCTGCCCACCTCAGCGAATCAACAAAAGTTGTTGTCGTGCGGCTCTTGTTTAGGTAGTCATTTTGTTGAGGTCTCGTGGGTGTCTAGAAATTATAAGGCCTGTTACACTTTTGTGTTGGTTTTGATTGCTCTTTTTTTTTAATGACTGACATTGAAAAAATATATTAAATGTTTAACTTTAGGGTCTTTATTACTTTATTAGTAGCTTGAAAGTTTCTCAAAGAGAAAAATAAATGAGATTTTTTTTTTCTACCAGGAATTAAACAGTGCATGCACTAAGTTTCATTTTGTTTGCTTCTAATATATCTGTTAATATATGCAGCAGTAAACCTGTGTTGAGAAGGCAGATGGAAAAGGCTATTACTATACAGTTTAACCCCAAGTCTATGATACATTTGTTAGCCAAATGTCAAAAGCTAGGAATGTACATTATCCTACTGCGTAGTTTTTGTGCTCTTCTTCTTCTTCACTCCTTTTAACGTGTTACTCTCGCAGGTCACCACTGCCTGCCCTAATGAGCACCACCTGGTCTGCAGGCTGACTTCTCTATTCAGCCTCTAGTTCCTTCCCTCCCTGGCATACCCACAATGCCTCCCTTCCCTCTCCCTAGTTGCTAGGCAGCCGTAATAGTACTCCTAGATATGTGTCACTGGCATTAATGTTAGCCGCACTGAATTTATGCCCCTTTTTTCCTCCAATGACAACAGCCATGCTTTAGAACTAGATATTTTCCTTTCTGATTAACTGGTAACGTTGATGTGGAAATCTGAAGACTTTGTGATGTCTATCAGAAACTCCGAACCACGATTTAATGATCCGACTTTACCCTCCGTTAGCTTTTAAGCTTCTGCCTCTAAATAAAATGTCCATTTACGCTTAGAAGAAACCCATGATGAGTTTGTGCAGTTTGGACTCGCATGCACTGCAGCATGTTGCTGTTAATGGCTGTTGTATCACAGTTTCAGATCATGCAGCCTTTGCAGAGCAGCTGGCTCTCTGAGCTGAGTTTACTGTACTGCACAGGTCCCTGGGAGCCATGATGATGGGAACCACCCGAGACTTACAAATGACTCTGTCTGCCTTACACTCTTTTTCATCTCACAGTCACCCTCAACGTTTAAGACAGGAGGCAGGGAGCCGATGTGTTTCCCTTTCTGCAAAAATAAATACTATTTTGCTTGCTTGCTTAGGTCTAACCATAAATGCCAGAATCAAAGAAGGGAAGACCTTTAAGAAAGGCTTAGCAGAAACTGTACAGAGCGTGTTTGTGCATCCTGACTTAAGAGTTTTCAGATGTGCTCCCAACTTCCTGGGTGACTGAGGGTGTTCGGTTTCCTGGCCTCACTCAGAAGGCCTGTAACAGAAAAGGATGGCCCAGGTGGTTTCGAAGGCCCTTTGAAAGCCTGGTGTTCTGAGGCCTGTGTCACTTCCTCCAGCATGATCTAGTGGATCGCAGCTGGAACGTGGGAGTTGAAACTACGGTGTCTGTATACATAAGTGGCAGAGGAATGTGAGCCATTCTTTGGATTGTTACCTGGTTTTTGCCAGTTCCAGATTTACCAACATAAAATAGTTTGAGGTTTGGTTTTTCATTTTGTCTTTGGAACTGTGAGGTGAAGTGGCTTATTGAATACCATAAATCCATGTTTTGTCCTAGCTTCATATTACCAGGGATTCTGACCCATTTGGGGTTTCCTTTCAGGTTTTGGGCGTTGTCTTGTGTATAAAAATGCTAAGTGCACATTGAAGCGATACACCAATCAGACTTTTGATAAGGTGATGGGTCCCATGTTGGATGCTGCTACCAGAAAACCCATCTGGCGACATGAAATCTTAGATGCAGATGGCATTTGTTCTCCAGGTAAAAACCCTTAAAGAATAATGAATTTCAGGGTATACTTGTGAGATTGTGAGAGTTATTTAACAGTATTTCTGAATTGTTCATAATATTCAGCTAGTGTGGTTATTTTCAATGAGTCTCCTTCCTCTCTGTTTTTCTGTGCATTATGTATGCTTTCCCGCAGCAAAAATGTATTCTAGGCTAATCTTAAATTATAGAAAAGCCATATTTTGAATAAGGTCTTGACTCTGTATCTATGCTGGTATTTCTTAATATATACATTTTGCTTATGGTCTTTCTTTGGACTATTCTTTTCCTAAAAGAAATGACTCATTATAATTGCAAATGTGTAATGAATTTGTTTGTACAGCACACAGCCCTCGGTTCTACAGGCTAGTGTAGAGGGCTGACATTGATCATCGGATCACACAAGCATGTCAGGTTACAGCTGGTGTAAGGAATCAATCATAGAGATAACTGTGATGCCATTGTGTGGCAAGAGGAGGCACCCTAGTGTGGAAGATCTGCAGAGCCTCTAAGGAACTGCAGACAGGAAGAGTATCTGCTAAAGAGAGATGGAAAAGTAGTTTCTAAACCTATGTGAGTGTCTGTGTATTTGATAGCTGAGGTTATCTGAAAGGAAGAGAGCGTAGTAGGGCTGTGCAGAACACAGGGACCGTCACCTTCCACACAGCCTAGTCATAGTTGAGCCCTGGGTGGACAGTCCTATACGGAGCTAGGATTCCCCCCAAGCCACACAGGTGTGAGTCCCCTTTAGTCCATCTACCTTTGCTTCTGGGAAATTTCTGTGAAGTGTTAGCACTGGTCACTGTGGCTTTCAAAATAAGCATGAGGATGGTTGTTTCAGTAGCTGGTCCTTAGAATAGAAAGAGCAAAACCAGAGGTATTTTTTCTCCTTTCCATGGTAAGCTGGTGGTAACTTGGTTCTGATGGAAATGTCTAGAGATAACAAGTGCTGCTAATCTGTTCTGCTGCTGTTGGCTGGGGTGGTGCTCCCAGTCTGTTCTGCTGCTGTTGGCTGGGGTGGTGCTCCCAGTCTGTTCTGCTGCTGTTGGCTGGGGTGGTGCTCCCAATCTGTTCTGATGCTGTTAGCTGGGGTGGTGCTCCCAATCTGTTCTGATGCTGTTGGCTGGGGTGGTGCTCCCAATCTGTTCTGATGCTGTTGGCTGGGGTGGTGCTCCCAATCTGTTCTGCTGCTGTTGACTGGGGTGGTGCTCCCTTGTGTGTGGTCTCTTAAGACAGCCTCTTGTGGGTGGAGGTGGGGTTTCACTGATATGTGGTCCTGAGTCAATATCTCATTAGTTTCCATCTGGTTTTTTCTTTACAAACCCATCTCTGAGCCCTATTGAACTTGACTTCCCACCAGGATGGCCTGTGTCTTTCTTCCATGTCTAGATTTCATAAACCAAGTCTGTCCGTGGTTTTGTGCCCAGCAGCCTTGCATTCTAATACATAACAGTCTGTTTGGTGCTGTCTTCTTTTCCTCAGGTGAGAAAGTAGAAAACAAACAGGTGCTTGTAAACAAGTCCATGCCCACAGTGACCCAGATTCCTTTGGAAGGAAGTAGTGTGCCGCAGCAGCCGCAGTACAAAGACGTGCCCATCACGTGAGTATTGCTCAGGCCTTGATAACACATAGAGATGTCTGGAAGAAGAATGGATGGAGGAAATGATATGTTATACAGGATTATGTATCATGTGTAAGTTATACGGTCCTTATAAATTGAAGAACTAGAAATAGCAATTTTTGGATACCTCTGTTACATGAAAACGGTGTGTCATTGAAGAGAACTGAAGTGTGGAATCAAACAGAGCGTATCGCCTGGTAAGGGGAGTGGGTCAAATGGACAGGAGCTCCAGTAGAAGAGAAGCAGGGGCACGAGGTAGACAAGGCTCAGCTTTGGAGGGTCAGCGTAGCTCGGTGTTGCTAACACAAGGGAGAGTTTGCAGCTCGTTCTGCAGAGTGGCACAACCAGGTCTGTGCCAGAGAAACAAGTAAAGCACCAGCCACACCGTACCATCACCAGGGGACTAGAACTGGGCTGTTCCTAAGAGTGTTTGTGACTGTTCGTTATCTCACCTGGGTAAAGCATGGAAATCCCTTTTGTCTTCTCTGTATAATGAAAAGGTTAAATTCATTCATCTCCACATTTCTTCTCAGCTCTAAAATATAATGAAGTGTGAAACTCACTGGGGTGAGCCAGTAATAGTCACCACACTGGGTACAGACCCGTCTAGAGAGGATGAATATTCTGCCTTAGACAGGCGAAGGTGAGGGGCGGGAAGGGGCAGCGTAGAACGTGACTGGCAGAGACTGACAGAGACATGCAGTTGCTGCCGTAGTGATAGCCGCCTTCTGCACCGCCAGTCTGCCCGTCGTCCGGGCATCCTGATGTGGGAGCTTAGTTAGTTCTTTCACCCGTGCCGCATCTCCCAGTTCGTTAGAGTCAGATGGTGTGGGAATGGAAGGAAGGGGAACGTGGGTGACTTCCCAAGTCACCTGGGTATACTTGGCAGCGGTCTGGCTGAACTGCTCAATCTTGAGAGCTGTGCTAAATGCAGCAGTGGGGAGAGCCATCATACCATACAGCTGACTGGACCGTACAGCCATCATACCGTACAGCCGGCTGGACCGTACAGCCGGCTGGACCATACAGCTGGCTGGGGACTGGGTCCCTGATACCAAATCCCCCCAACAGAACTCTTGAAGCCACAGGTGTGGGGTGGCTCTAAAGGAGACAGATGTTCAAGACCCGTCTTCCCTCCTGCCGGCACCTTCGTTTCTTTCGTTCTTCAAGAGACCTTACTCTGCTCTTCGGTCTTGTCTTTCCATATTATCACCTGTTTTTAGAATCCGTTTCTTTCCCACGGTAGAAAATGTGCTTAAATATTTTTATCATCTTAGAGAAAGAAGGCCTTTTCTGGATTTGGGATTTATTCCTAGCTAGTTCCCCTTCCATTTCTCTTTCTTTTCTGGGTCACCCTTGTTCCTGCTTCTCCGCCTCACTCCCAAGTTCCATCTCTCTATCTACTGAAACGGCCCTAGAGCAGGTGGCCAAAGACAGCCTGCGTTCTTTTCAGTCCAGGAGTGTTTTTGGAGCACTAACTGCTCCAGGAGGTAGTCTAGTTACCAAGACAGCAGTGAGGCAGCCAGTGCCATCCGTGCCCCGTGGAACTCACAGCCTAGTGCAGGAAGGGGATAGACTGAGGGAACCCAGAGACGGGCGATTGGCCGAGGTTCTAGTCCTGTGGCTAAGCCCTTGTCCCCCGTTCACCCCGTACACCTAGTGTGCCACGTGCATTGATCTTGAAGGCATTTAACCCCTGACAGGTCGTTCCCCTGGGTTTTATGGTTAGTACCACCTTCGCCTCGCCCTCCTGCTGGTCTGGTTTCTCACTCACAGCTTCTCCTGCGTGGCCTGGTGGAGACCTGATCCTGACTTGACCTGATCCAGACTAGTGACCTTCGCCTCTTTTCTGGATCTGTTTCCTCCCTCCCTGGCTCTTTACTGATGTCTCCCAGAAGGACATCTGCCTGCTGCTGGCTCCATGTAGCACCTGAGCCAAACCTAGACCACACCATCCTCCTCCCTAGCCCCAAATTGGCTTCTCCTGATCTCTTTTGGTGGTGATAAGCACCACGGTCTAGCCAGTCCCTGGCAGCACAAGCTCTGTGCTTTCCTTTCCTCTGCCACAGGCGCCATTTCAATAACTCCTGTTGTAGGTTCTATCACACGTACTCCCTCCCAGACACACTTCACACACACTCAGACACCCACTTTCACATGCACATGCATTCACACATACACACACACAATACACTTGTATACACACCTGCATGCACACTCACAAACACAATATACTCGCACATGCACACACAATACACTCACACACATTCACATGCGTGCACATACTCACATATACACACAATACACTCACATACACATGTGTGCACACACTCACATAAATACAAATACACACGTGCTTGCACACATTCACACATACACACAATGCGCATGCATACATACGTGTGTGCGTACACACACACACACTCACCACCTGAGGTAGTTGAGCTCTACTTCTGTCTAGTCACCCAAGCTGTTAGCTTTATCTTAACTTCTGGAGTACCCATCCAAGTGATTTTTTTTTTTTCGGAACCTTTCATGTGGCTGTGTGACTCTCCTGAGAAAACAGAGTAAAATTCTAGATGACAGGGTTGCCTGTGGGGAAGGTTCCCTGGCATGAGAAAATAGAGTAAAGTTCTAGATGACAGGGGTGCCTGTGGGGAAGGTTCCCTAGCATGCCTCTTGGCTCTGCCTTACATACACACCAACCCGCCACATTTCCAGGAAACTGTCTCTTCAAAACGCACCATCCACTTTGGGCCGCTCCCATTGGCTCAGGCTGCTCCCTGTGCCTGAGTAGGTGTCGCCCCTAGAGTCAGGTCTGTGGTGGTGTTTGGCACCCCACTCTGTCCACCACCATTGTCATCCTGGGCCCCCGCAGTTGAGAGCTCCCTGGGCTTCCGGTCCCTGTAGCACGGATTGACCTTTCTCCCTCTTTCTTACTGGAAGCAAGCTGCTTTCGTGCAGGAACTCTACCCTTTAATGGCTGTGTGTCCAGACTCCGGGGATCTGACTCTTAGACTCCTCAGAATGTCTGTTGTATAAAAACACATGAAGCAAACTGTGTGCGACAGTAGTAATGTCAGTGGTCAGTGGGTTGAGGGACTGCTGGAAAAGTGATCAGGCACTCAGAGCTGAATCTGATACTCTCCCCTCAAAGCTCAGCTCTGCTGCACGAGGCAAGTGTTCTCACACCAACTAACCTCTTTAATGTTGTCTATAATAAAGGAATAACTATAAGATTGCTGTATTGTGTCTGCTCATAAGAAATGTGTAACACTGTAAAAGGAAAACTGTACATTTTAATGTTGAAATCATTTTTCAGAGCATGAGAGGAGAATATCAAAATATTTTGTGGTAGAATTGAGGAGAGCATGTTATAGGGGTGCCAGATTGACGAGGGCACTAGAAGCCATTGAGTGACTGTCGTCACGTTAGGTACAAAGGCGCAGCAGACTCGTACATCGAGAAAGTGATGATCTCCTCCAACGCCGAGGACGCTTTCCTCATCAAGATGCTTCTGAGACAGACGCGGCGGCCAGAGATCGGAGACAAATTCAGCAGTCGTCATGGACAGAAAGGTAACACAACTCTTCAGCCTTACTCTCAGATTCGCCTGTTAATACTTTAGTGGCATTTAGAGGTATAAATGGCAAAAAGTGCTTATCTGATCATTTATTTCATTTTCATTTCATTCTGTGCCCAGAATTACAAATCCAGACACTATGCCCATTGAAGTACATATGATTCTTTCATGAAAGGCACATGCTTAACCCATTCTGTATTCTGTTGTGTCATAGAATTTCAGTTCTAGAAGATCCCTCAGAATTGAATATTCCTTTATTATCAGCTTTGAGTACTCTCCTCTTACTTATTGTGTAGACAGAACAGAATTGACATGTTAGAAAATGTCAGTATTCCTTACAAGAATTCACACCATAAGAGAACATCCCATTCTGCATCAACATGTCACATGACTGTCCTGGCTAGTTTGATGTCAACTTGACACAAGGTAAAGTCATCTGAGCAGAGGGAACCTCAGTTGAGTAAAGGCCTCCATAAGATCTGGCTGTAAGGCATTTTCTGAATTAGTGAATGACTGGGGAGGCCCAGCCTATGGTCGGTGGTGTCATCCCTGGGCTGGTGGTCCTGGGTTCTATAAGAAAGCAGGCTGAGCAAGCCAATAAGCAGCTCCTCTCCATGGCCTCTGCATCAGCTCCTGCCTCCAGGTTCCTGCCCTGTTTGAGTTTCTGTCCTGACTTCCTTCAGTGATGAACAGCAATATGGAAGTGTAAGCCAAATAAACCCTTTCCTCCCCAACTTGCTTTTTGGTCATGGTGTTTTATCACAGCAACAGAAACCCAAACTAGGACACATACCCAAGTCAATTTTATATTGTACAAAGAATTGGAGACTGGTAAGCATGTCAGTGTTTATCCACTAGGTACTGGTCCCACGAAACTTACTAAGGGCAGCAGAATGTGTTTCTCCGGTCCTAAAGCCTAATGAAACCTTTCTTAGAGCAGATGCTGAGTAAATACTTCATAAGAGAATCTGAGAAAATAGGTGAGAATTGAAGCTTCCTTCAATTCTTGACGAGTGGGTTGTCCTTGGGTTTACTTGAAACACCCTGTGAGTCTGCGCGCGCGCACACACACACACACACACACACACACACATACACACATGCATGCACAGTGCACCGCTGTCCTTGAAACACCCTGTGAGTCTGCGCACACACACACACACACACACACACACACACACACACACACACAAGCATTCACAGTGCACCGCTGTCCTTGAAACACCCTGTGAATCTGCACACACACACACACACACACACACACACACACACACACATTCACAGTGCACCGCTGTCCTTGAAACACCCTGTGAGTTCACACACACACACAAGCATGCACAGTGCACCGCTGTCGAGCTGAACCCCAGTCAGTAAGCTCCATTAAACATGGGCGTCTAAGTGAAATGTCAGGAAGCTTTGTGCTATAAATATGACAGGGATCAGACCCGTTGACAGCAGTTCCTCTGCCTCAGTGGTCTGCACAGTGCCATTAGAGCTCTGTTTGCTCCAGGGCCTCCGACATACATGTTTCTCTGTGAAACTGAGGGAAGTCGTCCCGGGATGGCTGACCTTTTACTTCAGTGAGGGCTTTGTCTTCCTGCTTTTCTTTTTCCAGATGGCTTTTAATCCAAGGTAAAACCTCATGATTAGCCCTCATTCCCTTGATAGCCCCATCTTACGGTTTATCAAATTTATTGGAAGGCCAGGAGGCAGAAGAGGAAGCAGCCAAACAGAAAAATAGGTAGCATACACTTGAACCCAGTAATGAAAGATTAGGGCTCTTGGGCAAATAGAAACTTACTTGTAAGCATGATTTTTATCAAATAATAAACACAGTATTTTATTGATTTATTTCTATTTGTGTGTGTGTGTGTGTGTGTGGAGGTCGGGACAGCTCTCAGAGTCCTCTCCTTCCATCACGTGGGCTCATCAGCGTGGACAACAAGCACCTTTCCCTGCTGAGTCACTCACTGGCCCACGAGCATGATTCTCCAGGTTAATTCGTTGTATTTTTAAGTGGAGGTTTAGGCTGGTGATACGGTTCTGTGGTAAAGGACTTTCCTCTTGAGGCCTTGATCTTCCAGCGCTGTTGTTCTAATCTTAGATGGTTTTTTAATTTAAAAAAAAACCCAGAGCCAGACATCAGGGTGAAAGCTGAAAGATCAGAGACGCAGAACAGCCAGCCACTAGTTCAATCTCTACGAAATCTTCAGCCTGAAGAGAGTGAGTTCCTGTTTCCTCACACCTTATGTACCTTTCTCTGTCCAGACATCACTTCCTGGGAGTGATTGGATTAAGGGTGTGTGCCAGCACTGCCTGAGCTCTGTGTCTAATCTAGTGGCTGGCTCTGTCCTCTGACTCTGAGTTTATTAGGGCACACAGTGTATCACCACACAGCGCTGCAGGTAGAAAAGGAGGACTGTATGCTAAAAAACGCTGGTCCTGCTTTTCCTCCATTTGTGTCTCCCAGAAGCAGCTCCACCCACTCACACCTTCCTGTGTCTAGTGTTCTTAGACACAGTCATTCATTTTGGGTGATACTCACTGTTAGGTGGCTCGGTGGATCCAGTAACTTAGTACCTCTTCTGAACAGCCTGCCCTCGTCATTTAATTACATAGCCAGTGTCCAAGACAAAACAAGTAACCATTTGAGTATCGTTCCTCTGTAGCATGGTTTTTTTTCTGAAGTAATAATTTTCTCTCATTTATTTATTTACAATTCTGGGGCTCATCTTTTTGTGTTTATATTGTTTGCACAGTTTTCCTCGGGATCAGTAGTCTGTTTAGAGACACACACAATTTCCCTTAAGGAACCTCCCTTCTTCCTGCTCCACACTATGATACTCGTTCTCTGAGGCATTAAGAACTCAGTGTCCGGGTTTGTAAAGCACCTGCCACACAAGCACTGGACCTGGGTTCAGATCCCAGGACTGGTGTGTAAAAACAGGAGCAACAGTGCACACCTGTAATGTCAGCACTGAGGAGGAGGGGACAAGAGGATCCGTGGGGTAGGATCAATTAAAGAAGACATCTGATGTCGAACACACGCACACACACACACACACACACACACACACACACACACACACTGGGGAACACACTTTAAAATAATGTTCACGAGCCAACAGTCGACCAGAGCCAGAAACTGTCTTTTTCTCTTAAGTGCCGAGCAGCCGTTTGCAAGAGGGCTGGGTACACACTGCATTGGTATAGTAAGGCAGCTCCAGCAAGTCCCACAGATCTGGGAAGCTAACAGGAGCCGTCAGTTTTCTTACTGTGGTGAGGCTGGTCATCCAAGGTGTTCTTCTGAGGCCTTGCTCCAAGAGGCATATTCCCTCTTCACACTCATCCCTCGGGTTTTTCTTATAAATACACCAGGCATACTGGATTAGGGCTCGTCTCGGTGATTCTGTTCAACTGTGATTACCTCCGTTGTTGTTGTTGTTGTAGGAGAGGGTTTTGAAGGTTTTGTTTGTTTGCCTATGAGGTGATCTCACCATGTAGCCTTGGCTGACCTAAAGCTTGCTAGGTAGTTCAGGCTGGCCTCAGACTCAGAGATCCACCTGACTCTGCATCCTGATGCTGGATTGAAGGCATGATCACTAAATACAGCTGCCTTCTAAGGTGTGCTGAGAGTCAGGGCGAGTACACTAGCGTAGGGAGCCGCCAAGCCGTGGACTTAGGGAACTTTCTGGTTCTTCCTGCTGCTTACCTTTCGCTTCTCCCACACCGAGCCTCTTCTTGTAGACTAGTTGTTCCTGAAATGATTGAGAAAGTGGTTGTGGGAAGCAAGTTTCATGAGGTAATGTACATATGAATATGTCCTATTCCCTGTAGGGGTCTGTTGCGGATGTTCTAGCATGAACATGGTTTCCCTGAGGACTGGGACAGCATTATCCTGTAGTAGGTCCAGTGTTTCTCATTCGTTTAGACTGTGCATCACAGTACTCGTCTTTTTTGTACTGTTTCTCTATGAGCTTTGGTGTATTGGTGTGTGTGTGTTTTCTGTATACGTATGCATGCAGGTGCCATATGCACGTGAGTGCACATGTGTGTAGAGGTTCAAGTTAGCATCTGGTTGCTCACTTTCCATTTTATTTATTATTTGTTTATTTATTTATCTACTTTTTGAGAGTAGGTTTCTCAGGGAACCGGAAACTCATTGATTAGGCCTGACAGGCTGGCCAGTGACCTTCAGGGACCTATCTCCCTTAGCCCCTTGACTTCATCTGATCTGTGCTGCGATGCCTAAAATGGTTAGTCTGGGCAGTTTATAAATACAGAGACTTATTTCTTCAGTTCTAGAAGCTAGAAAATGCAAGGCCAAAGGTCTCACATCTGTTGGGTGTTTCTGATTACATCGTCTCTTGGTAGACAGGGAAAGGGCAAAAGAGCGCAGTGGAGAGAGAGCCTCCGACGGGGTTTGCAGCCGCAGATGCTTCTCTACTCAGCACGGATCCGTTCAGGAGATGGCACCCTCGTGCCCAAACACCGCCCAACACTGTTACATTGGGGATCACTTTTTCACACGTCTGTTTAGGGAGATAAATCCAAACCATGGGATGTTTGTGGCCTGAGCAGGCAATTTGCTGTTCAGTAAAATGACAAGAATATGGCAGGAACCATGTTATGGAGTTAGACAAGGTCACGTGTGAAGAGTTTGAGCCTTAAGTCTGAGATGTCTGTTAGACTCTTCACTGAAGGAGGCAAGTGAGTATGAGACAGCAGGAGGTTAGAGCTAGGGACAGAGTCCTGGAGTCGTGTGTGTGTGTGTGTGTGTGTGTGTGTGTGTGTGTGTGTGTGTGTGTGCGCGCGCTGTCTGTCCCCAGATTTATAGAACGGTACTTTTGGTGTCCTGGTAATTTACAAACATTTCATGTATGCTCTTTGCTTTTTTCTATACAGTTCTAGTTACTACTGGGATTCCTGCCACACAGAACGGGGCATTTGAACCTCAGGGAGGAGGTTGCTGGGTACAGCTTAATGCCTGCAGAA